GCCTGGAAAAGTTTTCCAAAACTCAGTTCCCTGCTGGTGTAAATATTGTTTGGCAGCATCAGAAAAGCTTTCCAAGGGGAAGCGAGACAGACTGGAGCTCCTGTCTCTTTCAACTCCAGCCAAATGCATCTTAAATTACAAACTTGGACTGGTGTGGTCCTGCTCTTGATGAGAGTTTAAAGGGAATGTAAAACACAATGACACTGATCTTCTGTTTAATTGCCACACAAACCAGATAATTGGATACAGAGGATTGAAATAAAAACTGAGTAGTTGATAATACAAAGTTGAGAGAGAAAAAAACAGCTATGCAAAATTACTGTGTTATCAGTGATTCTTGATCATTTTCATAGCTGAAAATGACCCAGAGATTTAATTAGTCTTGGAAAATGTTCTTCCTACAAAATCATGATAAAGGAATATCTGAATCTTCTTATGTCTAAACAATCAACAGCTATTGAAAAGAAGAAAGACTGATACTGAAACTGAAACATCAGTCTTCATAGTCAAAATGTACAGAAGAACGCGGTGTGATTTATTATAGGGCAAAATATTGGCACTAATAAGAAGTAAAAACTCTGGAAAATATGGCAAACTCAAATAGCTCATAGACTTCAATGCCTGAATGAATCACTGCTGTTACTCAATCCAATTGCCCAGAGTCTTGTGTTTATTCTTTTTAAAGTAGTCTTATTTAAGGAACCAACTTTCCAATTTCGTATCACCACAGTGGGATTTAAGGATGTTTAGTTAACAGCAATTTGGAGAATTTTAAAACCTTCTACAGCCCAGATACTGCACTTCTCACCCTGCAGGAAAGCACTTTTTGGACACATCACCTGAGCATTTCAGTTTTAGATCAGAGGCCTCCTCACTGCTTTGAACTTTGCAGACTCCAGGGATTGACAGTGCCAGTCTCAACCATGGTTCAGGTTAAAAAAAAACTCCTAACCTTAGATCCTGAATAAGCTACCTGCATAGTGGAAGAAGCTGAAATTGAGACAACACAGCAGGGAATAGTAAGATTAAAAGCATTGCTAACTGTGCTTAACTTCAGTGACTTTCTGTTTTGGAGAGGTATTTGGCCTTAAAACTCTCAGGCAGCTGCATGGCTGCCTGCCAGAAGGAAGTTCACAGCAAAGCTGTTTGCACACCATCAACCTATTTTTAGTGTATGGCTTGGGAGGGAGTTTCTTCCTCCCCCTGTCCCAAGCCTCTGAAATGCTCTTCACTGGCAGGCAAAGCCTGATGGGAGTCTTTGCATAGAAATATGGAATTTCTTCTGGCCAGCAGAGTAAAATTGGGTCTTGCATGTGTGCCAAGCAACCTGCACGTCTACCCAGGGTATGAAAAGCTGGGCAGCACCAGCACTGGTTGCTTTCTTCTCAGCTGGAATGTTGTTTTAGGAAAAATAAAAGCAGAGAACCCAGTTTAAACAAAGTAAGATACCATCTCTGGCAAAAATTCAGATAAAGGTTTAAAATTCCTGACACAGTAATTGGGTAAGAGAGCAGCCACTCCAAACTCTGTATCATCCCAGTGCACATACCCACACAATTAAGAAGTGGTTTGTGTGCATTAATCCTACATTTGTATGAACTACTGCTGTCACTGCTTATTCTTGCACAACAAAATAGACATTTAAGGTGTGGGATGCATTCACTGTGAAAGCTGAAGTACTCCCAAAAATTTGAAATGGAAGCATGGAGAGTGCCTTGCACTGGGCAGTGTCAGGAACTTTGTACTAACTCTGTAGACGTGGGCCACACTGCCACTGTGCCCACAGATGTTATCAACACAAGTGTTTTTTTAAAAGAAGGGATGAAAAAGGAAACACATGGCTGTGAGCCCCAGGGCTGTGCTCCAGAGCTTTGCCAGGACAGTGTTTGCTCCAGAGCAGCTCTGACTCCCTTGCAGGCCTGGATGTGAAGAGAGTCACGGGGCAGTGCATGAACTGGGAACTCTGCACTGCCCTTTATCCCCTGCACCTTCAACCCTCCTCTGTGCCAGCCCTGTAGCACGCCCACAAACCCCTCCTTTAATCTCAAATTCCAGAGATTCCACAGCCTACCCAGGAAAGATATTCCAGAGCTTTGCTGTTCCTGCTGTCAAGGCCAACCGCCCATTTGGATGTCTCAGCTCAGTATCTCTTGCTGTAACAGAATCTCTTTTCCTTGTCCTACCTGCAACAGTGGGAAAAAGCATTTATTTCCTTCTTTGCACCTACCTCTGACTGTCTGAAAACATCTCTCCCATCATCTTGAAACCAGCCCAGTCACCCATCCTGTCACCCCTCTCATTGCTTTTCCCCAGTCATCTGCAGCTGATCCCCATTTTCCAGGAAGTGCAGTGCCCACAGCTTGATACCACATTCTGAGAAAGGCTTTCAGCTACCACATGAGGAAGAGGGACCACGCCATGTATCTTACAGATTACATTCTTGTTCATACATCCAATAGCAACACTGGATTTTTTTTTTTTTTTTTTTTTTTTTTAGGAAGAGGATGCTGTTGAATCATGTTCAGCTAGTGATTGGCTATAACCCCAGGAGAACTCTTCTGCACAACTGCTACCGTGGCAGCTGATTGTGGCTTCTGCTGAAGTCTACAAACATGCATTTGTCAAATCCATTGCTGGACTTACTGCGTCACATGCTAACTCTTTTGAATTTGTCAAGTTCACTTTCAGTTGTATTTGTCTTCTGCTCAGTCAGTGGTTAGCTCAAGTCTGGTGCTTGCTACAATTTAATCAGCATATGCCATCCAAGTTGTTAGAAAAGACACCAAGTAATCTTAAATCAGAGAAGAACTGCAGAGAATCCCCCTCAATACATCCCTGCAGTGTGAATTTTTAATAATTACTCTGATAGGGTTTTCCAAACAGTTTTTATCACCTCACTTTTTAATTTGTGTCAGACCACATTTCACTGCTATCTTATGAAAAGTTATTAGTCACTTAAAATAAAGCTGTGACACTGCTTCTCCTCTGCTCAAGGAGCCTGTCAACTTGGTGCAGATTAACAAAATTTGGTCTTTCTTTTAGATACTGGTAAGTTTCCCTTTTCCATTAATTCCCCAGTTTAAACTATTGACCCTGAGTTCTGAGCAGGCAGAAGGAAGGAGAGACAAGCTGAGCCTTCAGAGGTTACAGCAACCCCTTTGTCTCTAATGCTGGGAAGTAATTTACCATATGGGGTGTCTGACTTAGGCACATGGACACCTTCAGTTGTGCTTGTGCTGCAATCCCTTACACAGGGCAGAGCAAGCAAAGCTTGTCTAAGTGAGGACCTGACAGCCCTCAAAGCACTCACTGCTCTGCTCTGACATCACACAACACAAGGACAATTAAAGTCTTTTCCTCCTGTGCCTATGGGTCCCCCTCCCCAGCTAGAAGTGTTCAGCCATGCCAGTGAGAAATCACATCCATGAAACAGAGAAGGCTATTCCACAATATCCTGCACTTGCCTCAAAGATTCCAGCAAATAAAGTAAATATGCATCCAGTAATAATTTCCATGGCATCAAAAGCCATGCGATGAAACTACTCCTAACATCAGCTTAGGTAACAGAAATCTTGGAATAGCCTTTTCAAGAAACCTTTGCAAAGATGGCTGCAGATCACAGCATCAATTATTACACTCTGGGTCTGTCCTGTGCAGGGCCAGGAGCTGGACTCAATGATCCTTGTAGGTCCTGTCCAACCCAGGATATTCTATGAATCTATGACTTCATCAACAAGACCTGATCATTTGGCAACTCTTAATTGAACATGATGCTCAGCAATTTTTTCCTGACACCTAAGTCTGTGCAGACATTATATGATTGTTCTCAGGTTCCAGTAATTACCCTATGCTCATTAAATCAACTCCTTGTTTAAAGTGATGACATAATAATAAAATCTTCATCAACAGGGCAATAGTGCCTTTTCTCCTATGGAGTTTTCCCAGCACATTTGTTGATACTTTAAAATCGCTGACAGGTATCACTGTCTCTTCTTCAAGGCAGTTACATACTTGGACAAATCCAGTGATTTCCAAGTGATCCTTTGCTTTGTTAATCTCTTTTGCTACATTTCTATGGTTCCAAAATGCATCCTGGATGCAGCTGCATGCATGCAGTGTGCTTAACTTGCACCTTGCACTGTCATGGACTGGTGACTCAGCCCCTGCAGCCGCTCACTCACTGCTCTTCCCAGTGGGATGGGGGAGAGAACTGCAAGAGGTAAAGGGAGAAAACACATGGGTTAAGATAAGGACAGTTTAATGGTGCAGAAAAAGATGAAAATAATAATGATGATGATGATGATAATAATGATTAAAAATTTAATTTTTTTAATAGAAAAAATTAATCAGGTGATGCACAATCCAACTCTCACCACTTGCTGACAGATGCTTGGCCAGTTTCCGAGCAGCAGCCCCAGCCAGCTTTCCCCCCACTTCATGACACCATATGGTAGGAATATCCCTTTGGGTCAGCTGTCCTGGCTCTGTGCCGTCCCAACTGCTTGTGTCCTTTAGCCACGAGAAGCTGAAAAGTCCTTGACTTAGCATAAACACTACTTAGCAACTACTAAACCATCAGTGTGTTATCAAGTGTATTCTTACACCAAATCCAAAACACAGCACTGTGCCAGCTACTAGAAGAAAATGAACCCTATCCCAGCTGAAACAAAGACATACTCTGCATTCCCTTGGTCTCTTAGTCTAAATTAATTCACTCATGGGAAAAAAAAAAGTTCTTGAAAGGTGAGAAAGGGAACCTCCAGCAAGTCAGTCACTTTGCATTAAGCAGTGGTAAACCCAAAGCAGCTTACCCAGTGCAGAGTTAGGAACAGAGACACGCAGAGTTACCACCAAGTGCCACACTGTAAGCGTGATGCCTTCTCACCTCTCTCCTGGTAATGTTTTCCAGGCCTGTAACCTCAATCGGAAATACTGCATTTATGCATTAAAATGGCAGCTTCAAAAGTGATACTTTTGGAAAAAGGACAGATATGCAAGCATGGAATTCATAACTCATTTATTGAATATATATATGCAAGGATACCAATAAAAAGAAACTAATACTGCAAACTACAACTTTGGAAGTAAAGCCAATATAACAGGAACAAAATATACATAACATTGTAGATAGGAATGCATTTACCCTCTTCCATACATTCCTTGTCTTTACACCTAATGTCAATATATGCTAGAGCAAAAGCTGCAAACATTGGCCTAACCTGAGTGCTTTGACAAGCAACAGCTCTCCAGGATCCGTTAAGGGCTGAGATGTCACTGCAGACTAATGGCTGTGCATACATATGCATGTATAGGAACTGCTTCACCAAGTATAGAAATCAAGGGCTGTGTTCTGTTTTTTCACCTCCATCACTAATATAGTGGAATCTGAGTCTGGTGACATGGAAGAAGAGTTACTAATTGCTATCATGCACTTTCAGTTCTCTTCAGATTAATTTAATCTAATGAGGATTAATTTTCTTGTCAATCTGATTCAGCGTATTAATATTTTTGGAATGCACTGATTATCACCTGCCAGATAAGTCTGATATTTCAAATAAATTATCATCTCTTCATTTTTCACTCAGTTTTAGCATGAAGTTCGTTTTCCTATAGGCAGGAGTAAGAGGCAAACTCTCTTCTGTTATACTACATTTTAGGGTCAGATTTGGCAGGCTCAAGCCACGGTAGATCAGCACAGCTCTTTGTACCTAAAGCTGGGATGTTGTGGAGTGTAGGTGTGGCCCCTACTGGAGCCTTATCACAGAACCTCCTGTGGAGCAGCCTGTGCTGAAGGAGCAGATGTTCTGCTCACCTCATGCTCGGGAGCTGCACTGACACTGATCCAGCCCTTTCCCCCTGCCCTGGACAGCACAGCCCACTGCTCTGGGGTTTCACCTTGGGACACCAGCTGTATCCTCAAGGTATTTGAACAGGATCCTTGTGATGCCTGTCCTTCCTTGGCACAGTCCTTCTGGGAATAGCAGAACCACAGATCTGTGAGACCACAGTGAGTTGAGAAGATCTCTTAATAAAGAGGTGCAGGGAGCTGGGGAGAAAACTCCCTTCTCAGAGGGTTCCAGGCATCTTAAACAGCACACAATCCTCTTGTGAGCAAAAGAAATGCCCAAAGGCAAAAAGTAACAATAATAAAATAAAATTTAAAAAATTAAAGTGAAACCAGTTTTTAAGACAAGTTTTGTTGAATTCATGACGTTGAATTCTCTGATTGTGAGATGAAAGCAGAAGGTGCCTAGTAAAAAAAAAAATCTCAGTAACGAATTGACTGTATTAATTTAACTAGCTAATTTAAACATATCTAGTTCACCTATAGAGCACTGTCATTACTTCTAACATTTCTGGGAAGGCAGTAGATGCTCCAGAATAATCTTCAATATATGCTTGCAAAGATTACATTGCTTTAACAAAAAAAAAAAAAAAAAGAAAAAAAAAATCCCAAAACCTGCAAACCAAAACAAACCCCCAAAAATTCAGACAGACTGTCTGAAATTCCAAGCTAAAATACACATAAAAAGACAGTAATGGCAGTATTTTGTCTTTTAAAAAAATGATGTAAATGTTATATACTATGATACATTGTCATGCTTTTTAAAACTACAATTAAGGACGTAAGAGATGTACAGTAAATACACTGCTGAGGTACATTTCTTCTAAATATTAACACCACACCAGAATTACTCCCCAGCAGGTGATGCTACTTGGGAACATATAAATACAATTTTTACATTGTAAGGCACTTTTACCCAGCATACATGAGTTGAAGTCAGTTATGACAAATTTGAGGCTTGTAAGAAAAGATTTTTGCTTTTGACTTTGTTTCCATGAATTCGGAATTGATGACAGTTTCACCAGGCCATTTCAGCACTCAGGGGTAACAGGGAAACCAGCCACTCGCTTTTCTGCTACCCGAAGGTAAAGTGCTGTTCTGGTTCTTTGAGGCAAGGTATGGGTTAATTTATCCATAACAGGTGAGTTATTGGACTGAATATTATACTAAGCCACTGACACAATGAATTAGAGCTCAGTCTCAAGTACAGTCAGTATGCTGGCAGATCTACCCCATGCAAACTTAGTTAAATACAGTAGCTGCAAACAAAGTGCCTTTTTTCCATGGGAGGGCCATGGCTGAGGCACAAACTGAAGCAATTTAAATATTGAAGGATGCTATTTTGCATTCTAATACTGTTCTGAGTGGCTGAAAAATGTTCCATGTTCTAGGAGAAACAAAACACCTTGATAGACAATTTCAATAATCCATCTGTCATTGCAATTCAAGTCACGCTTTTAATTTTGAAAGTTACAAATACAAAATAAAAATGAGCAATGGCATCATGTTTAGAGCAGTAACTGAATATTTTCTGTACACAGCAATATTTCTTTCCAAATGGGATTATTCTCCAGGAAAGCAAACAGAATTGATTGAATTCTAACAGGTAAAATGTTAGAAACTCCAATATACAGTAATTGAGTCCCTCAAGACATTAAGGGAATGCATAAGAAGACAAATGACACACGTTAAGTCTTAAAAATACAAGTAAAAAATGCTACAGAAACTCATGTTACAAATGAACCGTTTTTGCAATACCAATCACAGAAGAACTGTAGCAGTTTATAGTCAAATCAGTGTCTTTTGCTTGTTTCCTTCCTTCAAATCCAGAAGTTTTGTTGGGAGTTCAGAGTGAAACAAGTCAAAACCCTAAACAAACAATAAGGTGATACAGTAGCAACAGACAAACATGTGGACTAGATTCAGCTTTTTGGTTTTATTTAAGCAAGTCTGAGGATGTGCTTTAACAGACCAATTGAAGCCAGTAGCCATTAAAAATGACAAGGTGTTTTGAAAGCAGTCAGAGGACTGTTCTGTTAGGTTTGGTATAGCCTAGATCTGAGCGTTCCCTCAAGGAACATCAAATTCTAGCAAGTAGAATTCTATGATGTGATTGTTGAGTTGACAGAGAAAGGAAAAAAAATCACTAAAACAATAAGGATGATACGCGAACTTTCCCATATAGTGGTCATATGATTAAAAAATAAATACCAATCTAGCAAAAAAGGTTGTTTCCTCATTCTTCTTACAGAATATGGGACCTTTATGCACATTCTTGACAAAACATGAAGTGTTCCACACAACAGAGAACACCTGAGGTATGGACGTCAGATATGGTGGCTAAATTCCATAGTGAGTTAAGAGTTGTAACTCTCTGAAGTAAAAGAGATTGGGCTGCAAAGTCCAAACATTTGTATAGTAGAGTTTTAATCACACTTGGTGAAGTGTTCTTTGTAAATCAGGACACAGAAAGAGGTGGATTTTTGGGGAAAGAATGAACTACAGCCCTTTGGCATGAGTTCTAAAGCTCACAGCTCAGAACCAACAGCTGCTCAAGTAAATCTCCCGCAAACAATGCCGGGCGGAATGAGCAATCACAACAGGAACAACCTGAAATGTTCAAGCGTGCTTCGTGTACACTGAGTCCTTTCCTACTGGGTGCTTCCCAAGCAAAAACAGCACGGCTCTGCCATGTACAGCCTCCGGAACTTGTGCAGGAAGAAAATGCAAAATTCACAAAGTACCAGCTTGTTGCCATCATGGACTTGTCCAGGTTGTTAATTAAACTAGCTAAGACCTTCCCTCATTGTGTGAATCCACTAAACAACTTACACATTCCAAATCTTAAAGTTTTTATTCAGTCCAGAAATATAGATCTTACTTCATTTCAATGTCTGCCTTAACTTTTGACACTGTACATATTACATATCATTTATATAGTGTTTCATTTTTTCCAGACACTGCAGACTACAAACTACATAATATTGACATGTAAAACTCTGCCACTTACTGAAGGCTCACACACATGAACGTTTCAGGCAGTTCAATGAAATTTCTAACAGAGTTGGGTAGTAAAAAGTTACTAACCCTTTTCTGATTTTTAGAAAACAATTTAAAAGAATTAGTAGTTATGATGTCTTAGCCATTCCCAGTTCTATAACTCTGTCCCTTGAACCTGTTTAAAAAATGATGAAAACAATAGTAAATTTAAAATCATACAGAAAAGCATTTCACAGCTCTGACATTACACCTACATTTAGCAATAGAAATGAGGGCCTCCCTTCTTACACTGTTACAAAGTCAGCTGGATTTAAAAAACAACAAATCCTCCCCATTCTTCTACAGTATGCCAATAAAAAGTACTCTGCATACACTAGATTTAAATACTTCACTGCAGTAAACTACATTAATTGTATATTGCGTTTCAGTCTTGGTAAGAGATCTGTCAGGAGTAACTTCCATACCTAGTTTCCATTGAGCTGCTGCTGAGGAATGTCATTATGGTCAGTGCCTGATTTGCCACGGCTTTTGCTTTCTCTTTCTTCATCCTCTTCATCTCTTTCATCATTTCCACTATGGTTTTTACAATAGAGTCTGGCACAATAAAAGGAACAGTGAGGATATACACTAAAAATATCCATCAAAAACTGACTTTTCTCTCAATTAGTTTCGAGATGTGCTACAAGTAAGTTACAAACTCTTGAATCATTTACAGCTTCCAGTCAAACTGAGAAGGAAAACAAAGTTCAAGAGCAGCCAACAAAACTGTGACCAATCCCAGTTTTGCAGAACTGCCTCTCACTGCTCAGCGAATGCCCTCTCGTGGGCACAGAGCAGCAGCTCAGCTGCAGCTCTTCAGGAAGGATGCCAAGTTGTGGGGTCCAAAAAGCCCCTGAAGGAAGCTACAAACACATCAATATAGAGGAATCATGACATCTATTTTCTTGATCTAAATTATAGATTACTGGAGGAGGAAAATGTAATACAAGTCAAATAATTTTCTCATTTCTCCTATTTACAACACTACAGAAATTTTAAATTAGCTGAGTAACTGAAATGTTCCATAAAGCAAATGAATACTTAAAAATACCATTTTAAGTTAAATAATATCTTCTTTTTTAAGAACGTATTGGCTAGCCAAGTTAGGCAGAAAGTGTCATGAAATATGTTTACTTTCATAGTAAATTCAACAGTTACACAGGTCCTTACTTATAAATTCCTCGTGACATGTTCTCAATGTATTTAGCTTTGTCTTCTACTCCACAGTGGTAATGGTATGTTTTTATGCAGGCTTTGATTTCACACCCAATAGTAGCACCAGGCTGGCTGCAGAGTGTGCATTTCTGTGCAGGTGAACGAAGAGAACAGCAACATTCAGCATCTCAGTTTTTTGTTTTATAGTATTCAGTTTAGTTCTCCTCATATTTATAGCTAACATTTTGGAACAGAGTAATTCGTCTGGCAGATCATCCTTCCAATGAAAAGTTAATCAAAGACATGGTAAACCAGAAGCTGTAAGATACCAACCCACAAAAATATGAACACTAGGATTTACCTGTCTGTTGCACAGAAAACTGCTACATGATTGTAAAACATGTTCTTGCATTTCCAAGACCATTTTATTGCTCCTGAAGTTAGTATGCTAATATATAGTCTTAAATTATTTTTTTCAAGGAACAATGTAGCTAGTTTTTTATTCCCTCTCTGATCCCCTATAAATTTCTTAGCACTTTAAAAACATCCTTTTAATAAAATACAGTGTAATGTTTTACCAGCATCCCCATCTCTGAGATCTTAATATGTTTTCCTACTAAAACACCAAAACAGTTGGAAACACTGGTTTGTTTCCAATTGTAGAGAATATATTCACTGTAAGAACTGCATATTCTCTAATTTTATGTGCAGCTCCACACAGTGTGTTTTTAGTAACACAGGTCCAAAGCTGTTACTCTCTTATAGCTACAGTATGGCTAATATGAATCATATGATTCTATGATAATAACAGTTATGTACATTGTCATAAAGAATCCCAAATAATGCAAGCCCAAACACCACTAATATTAGGGTGATTCCTATCTGGCTGCCCTTCCCACAAGTAACAATATATTTTAATTTTGTGTTTAGAAAAAGATGGAAAAGATTACTTCATAAATGGAAGGAGGCAGAACTATACAGGACTTAGCAGAATCACTAACACATTCACCACATTCTGCAGGTACATACCATTCTTTTTCCTCTCTTGATTTCTTGAAGTACAGTTTTGATATCAAAATCACCAAATTCTGCCCTTGAAGTTGTTGTTAGCTGGACAGTGCCAGAAGAGAACAACTGTAAAACAAGCAAGTAATGTCACATCACCAAGATGTTTGGAAATTTTTTCTTTACAGGAATAACTGAGCATGGAACATCCTGTTCTGTGATGTCAGACAGCATGTGCTTTACCAACAAACTAGGAAAAACCCTGGGCTGAGCAATTAAAGCATTTCTTCTGATCCCCACCTAACTGCTTTAATTAGAGCTGTTGTTGCCTTGGAGAAATTTATTTTAAAAGACAGAGGAGTAGATGAAAAATAATTATAGGATGAAAACATAAAGTAGCAAATGGGAAATACTATCAATTACACTACTCAACTTCTTAGGAATATTCCATTTCCTTCCCTGTGACATGTATGTAATTTAGGTTCAACCCTAATGTCAATACAGCTGTGAAGTCCTGAGGGATGAAAATGGAGAAGCACCATCCCTTCCATCATCATCCTGGTATATTCAGCTTTAACTGCCTTAAAACTGAAGTTCAGGTAGACAAAGTAAAAAAGAGCTTCTCTAGAGAGTAAGACTCAAAGCTGCTGGCACACACCAGCTCTCTGTTTAGTGAGGCTGGATACAGAAAATCAATGAGTAGCTCCACAGATTGCCTGTACTATTTATTCATTTTGAGGTACAACATGAACCAGTGAATTTTGTTACCAAAAACCCCACCTCATTCATGGCACTGTCTGCTCATGTTCTTTGCAATTAGATCCTGTTCAGGCTGACAGTTCTATAAACATGATCATCTAAATGCAAGAGCTTTCTAGAACTTCCATATCCCACACTCTACTTAAGTCACACAGACTGAATCAACAGGTCAGCAAATGAACAAAGTTCATGGACTCTTCTCAGATTGTGCCTGAACGCCTGCAAAGATGTTTTATTCTTGGAAAGGATTCTTTTAGCTAAAACTGTTTTCCTTTTTAAATACTTCATATGCATTAAGACACTAAGGGAGCATTTTTAATAAGCTAAAGCATCTCCCTGAGCTAATTCCATCTCTTAGCATGAAGCCAACTTTTATTCATATTGCCTGCAGTGAAAATAAATGAATTGCTCACTTTGCAACACTTCAGTGCTTAAGATCATCAGCATACAGACAATACTCAGCATAATTACATGTGAGGGTCCTGTATTAAAATCCAAAATAGTAATTCAGACAAAAGTCACAGACTAGATTGGTTAACAACAATAATGTTACTTACCATGCACTTATAGTGTGCTGCAGCCTTTTTGGCATTAAATATATGAAGCTTTCCTCTAGCTTCATTTTCTTCTTCACCTGCATGACAGAATCCACATTTAGGTTTTGTATCACTGGGGCTGCTTCTGTGGGGAGACCTGTCTCTCTGAAAGAAAAACATTTTACTAAAATATACTGCTGGGATACAAATAAGGTTGCAATTTTAAAAGCCTGTGGCCACCAGCTGGAGGCTCAGACAAATGCAAATTTTAATAAAACTTATATTTCAGAGAAGAAATATGCAATTCTGTCTTCTAAGAAGTTTAGCATATTTACTGCTTACATAGGAACTGCTTTCTATTTCATCTGTGCCGTGTGAGGATGTAGATCTAGTATCTTCTGATTGCCCTTTTAAATTTGTTTTTCTTGGCTTTCCCTTACGACCCCTCCTTTTTCCTTTGGGAGGTGAAGGCTCCAATTCATGTTCATTGATATTTTCTTCTAAATCTGCTTTAGAAGTCAGAAAATATAATTAAATAAGATTCTCCACAATTTTATAAAAAACAAACTAAGGAAAAAAACACAAAAAAACCCAAAAAACAAACCCAAAAAACCAAACACCAAACCAACCTAAAATCCACCAACACCAGACAAGAAAAATCACAACCTGTATTTTCCAAATTTTGGTCAGAAATAAAAATAGCACCTTTTCCCCATTTATTACAAACATGCAACTGCAGATCCTGAAAACATTACTTTTTATACGTCACATAGCTCTGCATCTTGACAACATGAGAAGGTTTAGTGTTTCTTCTACTTTCAGACCTAAAATGTGTCCTCACATATACATCCCCACCTTCACTGAAAATAACATTCATTTAATCTACACTAAAACTGGAAAGTGTTTTCACCCATGAAATATGCTAATAATTTATTAAGCTTCATAACTCCAATGTAAATTGCCCTTGGTAGTATGCCAGTGTACCCAAATAATACCTTGCTTTATCAATTGATGCCTGTTGACTTAAGAAAAAAGTTCATCCATTGGGTTATAACATCAAGCTTTTAAAATTGAAAAGTATTTTGCCTTCAGTGAAACAAATCTACAATTTCATGTCATTACAGAATATTTTAAAATCTGCAGCTAAAACCAGCCTGCAGTTTAGAGGAAATCATCCCCACTGACAACATCCCATATCAAGTATTTACAGACTATTTGGAACATAAGAACACATTTTTTAATACAGACATGCCAAAGAAGCCTGACAAGTTCCTTTGCAAATGTCAGTTGAGCTGTGAATGCTACTGTGAATGCCAAGCCTTTGGGCACACTGTCCTTTGCACAACTCACAGCTCTAGAGAAGATAACAGATCAGTTCTGCAAGATTAAGATTGCTTCCAGTAAGATCTAGTTAAATTTTATCTGATAATTACATCTAACAACCAGCTCTGTTCAGTACCTAACAACTTTCCTACTCACAGAAGCAGCCTCCTTTTTTCCCTTTAATATGTAGCACCCACCCCTGCTCAAAACACAAACATATTTCAGCAGACTTGTTTAAAGAACACACACAGACCCTGCTGAAGGACTTTTCTTCTCAAAATCCAAACCACAAACATCAGTATGAGCCTCCAAACAGAAGAAATGGTAATGAGAAGAGTTGGAACATTCACTTGATGTTTACTGTGATACTGTTTTAGTATCCAGATAGGAGATCTTAGCATTTAGCTGGAGACTAAATGCTGCCTTGCCAGCACTCATCTTTCTTACCTATTATCACATAAATATCCGATCACATTTCTATCTTGTGGTAACAGTGACTCAACTGCACAAAACTTGAAGTCAAAGTGCTGAACATATTCCACAGCCACCAAGTGGGAACAGAAGACAGCTGAAGCTCTGGCCCAGCCTGGCACACAAGGACATCCAGTTCAGCTCCATCTATTGTACCTGTCACTAATCCCCAAAAAAGCTACAGCTTCTGCTCAGTTATTAAGGAAGGACAGAAAACTTATCCAAATGTATCACAACAGGTTATACTGAAATTCATACAGATCTGCAAATTATTTTGGTTTAAACTTACAGATTATACAGCTATATACAGATTTGCCCAAGTTGCTACTAAGACACATCAGTCTGTCCACAACATCCCTATACTTCAATATATAAACTACTCTTTTCTAATTACATGTCAGAAGCACCATTTATTTTACTCTGAAAAAAACTAAATACATGATGACACAGATTACATAATGAAACAATACATTTTACATTTTCTTCTCAGTATTTCCTACCTAACATTATTTTTCCTTTGCCACTTGTTAAACTCCCCAAGCAAGATAATGCAATTCAGGTATTAACCTCTTAGACAGCATATAGCGAATTTTATTACAATCTGAGAACCTCTTTCAAAAAGAAATCATTTTATCTTGTTAATCATATGAACTCTCTACTGAATATTCAAATAAATGTGTGAATATTTTTATTTTTACTATTTTTACATTTACAGAAATCATAGACAGTTATGTTAGAAAAACAGTCTTACAAGTATGTGACTATTGAATTCATGACCCTTTAAATGGCATCAATAAGAAGTTAAAAATATTCCTTTCAAAATAATTCACTTCCCTACTATTTCATGAAGCATAGTCCATTCACTGCCATTCCTTATTTTTTCCAAAGCTCCTTGTCAATTTTGTCAGTTAAAATGCTTTCCACCCCAGCCCACCCTTATTTTCTACAATTACATTAAAGCATGTCCTGAACTCTTTACTTACAAAACTAGAAGTGAGGTATAATTGCTAAAAAGCATGCACACCTTATGAAAACCAATTTCTTACAAGTGTCAATCTCTTCATAGAACAAGTTCTTAAGTGCTGTTTTTTAGTCTATAATTATTAGCATATTTAAGATTTGAAAAGTAAAAAATGCTGTATTTTTAAAAGATAGTTTCAGTGTAAGATAAAAAACCATGAAGAACACACAGCTTTCCTTAGAGGAGAACCCCTCTTCCGTGCTCAAAACTATGACTTACAGAGAAGGTCAGACATTAAAATCCAGATGCTACATGACACCCCTACACTAAATACAATTCCTTGAAGATTTACATCTCCTACTTCAAGTGATGTGGACCTACAGAGTAACAGCACCAAGATGTGAGGATGTGCTCTACCACATCTGTCCTCCAAGACTGATACCTCAAATATTAAAGCTTCTCGCGTTTTTACAACGCCTTGAACTCACAGAACAGAACAGGGAGACTGTAACCAGCTGTCAAACACATCTGCCCTGGAGGGTCTTCATGTTTAATTTACAGCTTGGTGGGTGCCCTAGCCCTCCCCTCAAGCCCACTGCCAGCTTACCCTGTGTCCCTGGCATCTGATGGTTGGGTGTTTCCAACTTCTCATGTCAGCTTGAACTAAGGAAAACACAAAAAGTTGTTCAACTCCTCCCTGGCCAGGTGATGTTTTATCATGGATATCACCCATCCTCTGAGTCCCCTGAGATTCCCTAGAATTCCCTCTTCAACTAGCCCCCATCCCATGTCCCATTGCTGCATTGGTTTTTAAAATCATGACAATTTTCTCAACATAACTTTAGACAGTGTTCTAAGGAGGTTTCTATGAGCTTCCCTCTGAAGTTCCCTAAATGCTATATCTGAAAAGAGCCCAATACACAACATAGCCTGAGAAGTTGGAGGTAAGGGTAGAAATCAAGAAGAAACAATCTACATTTTAAAAAGCACTTTGGAATATGATATTGTAAATTCAGATGAGTAGCAACAAGCCCCTAATTTGCATTTTAGAAACCCATTAGAAGTACAAAGTACCACAGAAGGAACCCTGGCAAAATGCTGTATTACATCAACTGTTAAGAGGGAGATTCAGCTCAGAGAGAAATCTAAAATTTCTCCTTTGATCATGACTAGAAGGAAAAAGAATCAAGATGTTTTGCTGTTTAAAATAAGGCTTGGCAGAGAAGAGGAGATATCAGTGAGATATCACTGATCCATACTGCATCAGCTTGAAATACACATGGAACCCCTTTCCAAAAGCCAGGTTAAAGCAAAGTAATAAAGAATTAAGTTATTTAAAGGTTGTGAAAGAACAAGCAAAAAGAGGATGTGTACAATAAATATGGCTCTATTTACATCCTACATTACCTTAAACAGCAGAGTAAGAGAGCCAGAAACAAAGCAGGCTGATTTTGTATGAGGAAGATAAAAACTGAAACTACTGGCAAAATATATTTGCAAGTAGAACTTGACTTGAAAAGAAGCCAAAGCATAGAATGTTGGAGGGGCTACATAAATTTGAAATCACACATATGCAGGTAAAGTTTCACAGTGCATTTGGGATAAAAGAGAAACTAAAATTTCAAGGAATAAAATCAATTTCTTAAGATTTTTAGAAGAGAAATGGAATATAGCAGAGAAAGAAAAGAGTACTTCAGCATGCTAGAATAAAATCTCATTAAACTACAGCTGAAAGCAAATAAACCATATGAGTAAACATAATTGTTTTAAATTGGAAAGAAACATTAAATAAATAAATAAATAAATAAATAAATAAATAAGAGCCTTATTGGCCCAGCAGTTAATCCTAAAAATGTGGGTGCATCTATATGCAATAATAAGAATCAGGGACTTGCATAAACCCCTTGCAATCAAATACAAAATCAGGTAAACTAATAATGAAATAATAGTAGTTTTTATCAGCAGATGTTGTGAAATTAACAACCAAAATGTTGAATATTTTTTGTGTTATTTTTTTCAATGGAAAAAGAATAAGTTACATTAAACACATCTAAACTAAAGTAAGAACAGCGAGGAAAAAATTAAATTACCCCTTAGGTCCTGCCATATAGATAATGCCACATAGATAATAATATGTTTTCCACAAGCCCCAGATACTTCAAGGAGCTGATGACTCTTGTCTAGAAGTTATTTGCTATGAGGTACTTGAGATTATTTCTTTAATTAAGTATATTTAATACATAAAAACAATAAATAGTCCTACTAACCACACAATTTAAATGCATTTTAAAGCAAAGAAGCACTGGCAAAGAGTGAAGACAGATGAAGCACTTGGCTTATTTGCACAATCACAAAACTTATGACCACTGGTCTGATGAATTTCTTGAGTAGCTCAAGCCTCTCTATGTAACACCTTGCCTAGATGGGAGGGAGAATCAGAACACCACAGGACAGCTCCTCAGACAGGACAAACCACTCACCACATAACTTTTACATTTTTTCTTTTCCATTAGCCATGTGGTTTTCCATAAGAAAACCCTGGTGTGATGTTTCTGCACAAACCCTCATTAGTCTATAATGGGACACTGCTAATTCCCTGCCTGGACCAGCTGTTCCTGTGGGAACACCAGGTACACATTTGATGCCACACCCAGAGCAGCAGAGGAGACACACATCAGACAGACAGCACATCAGGCTGAGTTAGCAGAGCCCAGAAGACTTTCTCACTGTCAAAATCAAAATGACCCCAAACTGCAACATTACAGAAACATTTACACCTGACTTTTACTGCAAAAAATGTGAGGCCAACCTGTGCTAGGACCAGTGCTACAGAAAATGCAACAGGGAACAAACACTACTTGAAAAATCCAAAGATTAATCAGAATGTTACCTAGCTAGAATGCCAAAAAGTTGCAGATGCTTTTCCTGCCAGTCTGTGGTCTTCACAGCACTTTGGGAAAGTACTCAGTGCACTATAGATTGCAGTGTCCCTAAACAGGTCTCAGAGAAATATCACCCTGACTCAACTTACTGAGCAGTGTGAGAGGCAGAAATTCCATGTCTGATCTTTAGAATGACATTAAAAGGATGCTAAAACAGGGAATCTCCTTATTTCCACTGTGGAAACGTAGCTCCCCGAGGCTTTGAGCACAGCTACAACAGAAATTACAGACATTTTATTTTCTGACCCCACAGTTCTCAAGCATCTGCTTTAAACATTAATAAGAGAAGTCACACAGCTTTGTTAGTTTTTGTCTTACTACTGTGTAACAGATGAAATTACATTCTAATCTTAGTTTATATTAAACTGTTCCTAATCAGCTGAATTTGTTTTAGATTCAACACATCAATCAGGGCAGCCCCACCTGCAGGGAACTGAGAGAGGCCAGTTTTTTAATTTTTCAACAATTATTTCCAGTACATTGGAATAAATTCCAACAAACAGCTCTAAAACATTACTTCAACAATACATCATTCCTCAAAAAGAATAAATGCAATTGTATCAAACTGAACAGTAATTCAACTAATGGTTAGCTGTGATCATTTGAAAGCACTGGCACCAATTCCTGTAACCTATTAGGTACTGAAAACTTAAGACAGCTTGCCTAAAATTATGAATTAAGCTGTTACCTGAAGTTCAGTTGTTTTGTTAAATTTGTAACCAGCAAGGCAAAAACTTAGATGTCCTTCTTCCAGTTAATGGGAACAAAGCACAGAAAAATCACTCTGAATTACACAAAGGAAATATAGGAGAAATATAGTTTTCCTATTCTATGTCACCTAAATACCAGGCTAAACAGATAAATTAGATAAACCAATCTGTTGAAACAGATAACAAATTTAAGAGCATACTACTCTGCTGCCATGTTTCACATTTTCATATTCAAAGAAAGTAGAAGGTAGTTCATCAAGTCCTGTCATGTGAAGAAAAATTAATTCCCATTACTCATTAATTTTGTCTTATTGAGTGGATACCAAGTCTGATGAATCCTGACACCATCTGAATTTCATAACAGTAATAAAAACATCTGTGAAGTCCTTCTTATTAAGTCTTAGCAAGTAACTTAATTCCAAATAGGTCCTCCAACATTATTTCCATTCAGCCTCAAGAGATTTTGTCTAACTGTTATTAGGTGTTTAACAGAGTCTTTTTAAACTTGAACTTGTAACTAAAGTGCACGAGCCAGATCTCAGACTTGGGCAAGTATGACTCCAGAAGCATCCATTTTCTAGGGAAGGGAAGGAAAAATTTCACTGTTATGCAGCAAGTGCTGCCTACAGAAAATAATTCTGGACAAACCAAACTCTCCTAAAAACTCTTTGAACATCTACTAACATAAGTGACAGAATAAAAATACTCGGAACAATTAAAATATGGATACAAAATACTGGAGCAATTAAACCTGGATACAAAGAACCAAGCATCAGAACCCACAGATGTTCTAAACTGACCAAGAAAAAAAACCGCAACAAATTAATAATAAGAAAAAAAAAAAAATCCCCAACCAAAAAGCAGTCCAGAAAAGGAGCAGTTAAGTTTCCATCAAAAAGGACCGATGGTTCCAGCACCTCCCTGCACCCACACTGGGTGACAGAACCACAGATAAGCTTTAACTGTTCTGTTAGCAGAACACTGCTAAGCAAAGATTAATGAAAATGAAACTAAAACAAGATAAAAAAACCCTAAAATAACACAATGTTAACATCTTGTTTCACTGCCTAGTCTAGTCACTCTTCTCTGCCAAGTCCGTTATCTGGTTTCACAACCACCATTCTTTCACATTTAAATGCCTCCTTGACATTCACATTTTCATCAAGAAACAAACAAAAAATATATATAAAGCTTAATCTCACCATCCAACACCTTCCAGTTGTCATTTCACATAGCAAACTTCAGCATTTAAGTATTAAGGGAAAAAACCTCCCAAATCCTTCCTGAAACTCTGAAAACCACCCTGTAATTTCTGTCTGCTAAAGTTAACCAGTGTTCAATGTAGCAAAATACCACTGCTATGGAAATTATTTATAGCATTGTATCAGGCATATGCAATATGTATTTCTACTTTCTTTGATTTAAAGGAGGTCTATCACAAAAGAGCCCGAGCTTCTGCCATTATCAAATCCACAACTGTAAGTAATAATTATTTTACGGGAAAAGTTTCCAAAACTGTATGGACTAAAAAGAAGACATTTTTCTTTGGGGAAGAGCACTGGGTGAAATTTCAGTGAAATATTAAATAAAGAACTGAAAAAAAGAATGAGAAGTATAGCTACATATAGCTCTAGAAGTGCAAAGCTATTTATAGACATGTCAAGCATGACAGAAGGAAATATTTCAAACAAAAACAAATACGAGCAGAGTGCTACATAAAATACAATCATATTCTTTGACTCAGCAATTCTAAATGACATTGAGGGTAGGAGAGAGGAAATACACAAACTAAGAGGCTGTTTCTATGAGTCTAGATAAATGTTTTAATAAACTACCATCATCAACATATAATTAAAATTATATAGTTATTAAACACTGATTTTCCTCACTACATCTATATAAAATTTAAGTATTTGCTGTTAGAAAACAACACTGTAAAACTGAAGATAATGGTTTCTGAAAACTCTTAAAGATAAGCACAAGTTTAGATCTTGCAAGAAATCCCAAGCAGAAAAAGTAATCCATTGGTCTTGAGCCCCATGCAGAATTGCAGGCATTTTTAAACACATGTCAAACACTGAGACATTTGTGAGCAAGTACCGAAGATTATTTTAAAATATCAGTTAAAGAGATTAATCTCTCTGGACTCAAAATGTCTTTAATGTTCTGCATCTGCTAACACACAAAGCAACCCCAAGACAAATACAGGATAAGATGGCCTGTTCTCCAAAGAGAAGAGGCCATGTTAAAATATCTATTTTAACACAGATATTATTTTTCTTGTTTAAACCCAGTAGGAGTAAAATTAGAGTTTCATATATAAGCACACAACAATAATTATGTAGATAGAGTAAAAAAGAGAAATTAATTTTCTTTGGTATTTTCTGCTGCCTTCAGAATCTTTCTGAACATTGAAATAACATCCAAACCTTTACCATTACCTGTAGCATAAAAAGCAATACATTATCTCAAAAATACATTTGGCATAGAGACTTAAGTAATTTATGAACTTTAATTTTCACTAAACAGTTGCATACTCCTCATTAGTTAAATCTGAGGACATTTCAGTTGAAAACAATGCAAGAAGTAAACTACCCGCCTGCTTACCAAAATTCAGAGATTGTAGAAAAAAAAGAAAAATACTTAGTAAAAACACAACATCACAAGTTGTTTGGAATTTTAACAGACCACACAATATATCTACATTTGTGGCATTTCATTGTTCTTTTCTTCAAAGCTACACAGCTTTAATAAATGGATCCATAAAACTTTTTTTTTTTAATCAATATGATTCAGAAACTTATCTGTAAGTGAACTCATCACAACCCTTTTCATTTGCTATTGGGTGTTTCTTTTTTCAAGAGTTATACTCTATTCACTAGTCCAAAAAGTAATAAATATTTAGGAACATTAGCAGTATCAAGAATCAGCTGTTATCTGACAAAATATATCAGATGTTAATATTATAAATACTTAACTAAATATAAGCCAGCTTCTTCCAAGAAGGGAATGTATAACTTCTACTGAAACTTTGGTTTTATGGAACATCATATCTTTTGAACATCCTAAAATTTATGGTTGGGCTTTTTCTCCACCTCAATCAGTAATTTTTAGAGAAAATACAGAAATCAGATGGACTTCCAAACTCATTGTTTCTCAAAAATATGTAGTTCTAATTTTTACTGAAAACATTTATATTCTCCAGAAAAATTAAATTTAACCAAGTATCTTTCTACAATGGGAAAAATTTATATTGAATAATTTTACCTTCAGAGTTATGCGTAGTTTTCTTGTGTTTTCGACATAAAATCCTATAAACAAAGTAGTTGAAAACTGTCAAGTCAGTCACGAATCACAGATTATTTACTCATCTTTTAAATTTAAATGCCAGTACATTTTTCTCCCACTTATAAGACTCACTGATACAAATCTTGCAGTGAAAATATGCTTTTCTAGCACATCACTACTTTGAATGCCACAATCATATTTAGAATTTTTTGCAACAGTTTTGTTTAGATTCCAAAGTGGGGTTTTGTTTTGCTTTGTTGTTTTTTAACAAAGAATATAAAATACAAATTACAAAATAAACATAACAAATAAATAATAGTTACATGTAAATGCCTTGTGAAGGTTTCTCTCTTATCTGAGCTTTATCATGCAAAGCACAGTAGTAGTGATATGTCTTGTGACACGTTTTCACATCACAGCCAATGGTCGCTCCAGGACAGTGGCACAAAGAGCACATCTAGAAAGGAAAAGAAAGCACAATTCATGTTGCTTTTTGTTTAGTACTTCTGAGGTTAAAAACAATACATTTACCACTCCCGGTGACAAAACAAATGGATTTATGCACTTGGTATTACGCTTCCTGCTCCCAGGTGTTTTGCAGTTGTTTTCTTTTTTAATTAAGACATTTGTTACAAGTGTGCAACAGTGCAATAACCATCAGATGCATTATCAACACAACCACCATTATCAACTCAATGAAGAAAATAAGTAATTTAATTCTGTGGAATGTATCTAATGAAAGTGGCACAGCTATTCACCTGAATATCCCTCTCACAAGGACAGTCTGTTTGTACCAACCACTTCAGAAAAGTAAAAATCATAACTGTACCCGTTTGATTCTGAATTATATTATAAAGACAACAGGGGAAAAAAAAAATGACACCCATTTGAGAATGAATCCCGCAGTCAGAAATACTGGTAACATGCAAATTTACCTCAGTATCAGCAGCTAACTTTACTTCTTTTTCTACAGTTATGTCCTAAAGTCCTTTCCAAAACACTGAGTTTAGTGAAATACTTGGTAAACACAATTAATTTATTTCAACTAAACTAAATTTTTCTCTTATATTGCAAAAAAAGATTAAAAGTGGGGCTGTTGCTTTAGTCTTCTTTCCCATTAATTAATTCTTCTTGTATCAGGCACACAGATAACAGCAGCTATCTAAATTAGCCATTTAAATTGCACATGGTCCTTCTTATACTGTGGTAGGAAAGGAAGTAACTGACAGTATCACAAAATTTTTCTTTATTGTTCTCTACTGACTTAATAGTCTCCAAAATCCCAGAATTTCCTATTAAACTCACCTCCCAAGACAACTGGAGCTTTTTCTTTGAATCCTGCATATTGCCAACACCCCCAAAAGGTTACAAACAATTCCAAATCTAAGTATGCAATGTAGGATATTCCCTACATAGATATATATATATCAATCTCTCTCTCTCCGTGGATACATTTTTTTCTCCACTACACTCATTTAGTCAAGTTCTCCTTGCTACTCTCGAATATGCCAAAATAATATACCACCAAAGTTACCAAATATACCACCAGCCTGTTTTTCAATTTTAACGAAGTCAACTGAACAGTAAAAATGTCAAAGCCTTGGATCATCTCCATTTACTCCTCTGCAAGCTCTGAAATGGCATGGTTATGTACTGTTGCCTAGTTGTTATCTAATTTTTATGGGCATTTAATCTCATAAATCTGTTATACGTTATGGTTTTATATATAATAATTGGTGATCAAAGTCCTTTAGAAAAGCCTAGGCTTATATATCCAGCCAATCAAGTTTACTCAGAACCTCAGTTTTTTTGAAAGCCAGAAATTACTAAAAACAAACATTCTTTTTATGAACAGCATGATGTGTCTGTAAAACAGAGCACACACATTTTATCCATGTTTCTAGTAAGTAATAAAATTGTAAAAAAAGTAATGAAGTTATTCCATTGGCGCATGTCTGCTGTCCAAATGGTCACTAACTCAAGTTATTTTGGGTATATAAGAAGTTTGATAAGCTGCAAATTAAGTATGTTCTTCAGAAAAAAAAAAATAAAACTTTTCCATTCACAGATACTAGAAATAATACAGATAATTAAAATAATTAAGATATCAGTGACTTGTACTTCTAAATATTTAGATATCACAAGCTTTTGTGACTGGCCAACCAATGTTTGAACCTACCACCTCTTCTCAGACAGATCTATTACCATCAGAAGGTCTCTACCTTCTCTCACTGTCACTCTGGTAATGAGGTCCCCACTGTCAGAGCCCACCTGGCCAGCAGCACCTCCTGAGGGAGGACAAACTGAGCCCAAGCCATCCAAATATTCACCTAACCCAGTGCTCTGAGGCTTTCTGCTGAATGTGCTCCCCCAGAATGGACCAGGCAAGCAGACCTGAGAGAAGGGATTTGGGCTAATGATAAACCTTTCCCTTTAAACTTCCCACATGCCAGTGGAGAAAGAAGTTCCTCCAGAGAGTGATTCAGAGCTGCAACTCTCTGCCAGCTACAGAGACAAGCACCTAAGCTAAGATCTAAAATTTTCCTGTATGTTTTCTCCAAAGAGGAACCAACTCGGGACTATGAATTCATTAGATTGACCAGATCCAGGCTTTTTACAAAAACCTGAACAAAGTGCCTACACACAGCTGGTGAGCTACAAGAACGGAGCCATTGCAATAGCAGGAACATAAAGAGATTCAAAAGCAGAAAGAGAAACCACCAAAGACATAAAAAAACCTTTTAAACCCTTTAAGAGACACAAGAATCAAGAAGTTTCTTTATGACCAGTAGTTTCATTTACTACCATGTTCTTTGGGAAGTCCTAATCACAGCATGAATGACTTGTGAACAGTTACTTGTTTCAGCTAATTAGAGCAAATGAAGTTCCCTGGATGGGAAAATATGCAAATGAAGCAGTGCATGAAAAAGTAGATTATTATTATAAAACTGTAGTTCTACAATAATACTTTGGACTTCCGTTAATGGTCCAAGAACTGGTAAATATACAGAATGCTTTAAATAACTAAGCTGAAAGGTTTTAATGTGAGGAGTGAACAGATCATCTGCTAAAATTATTTTTAAAAGAGCCTCACTCATTTCCCCAAATGGAAAACAATTAGTTCTAAATAAATAATTTTTTTTAAAATTCCTCATTAATTAGCTTCTAAGAAATAAAAAAAAAAAAGTCATTGCTGCTCAATCTCTTTAACTTGGTGGAGCTGCAAGACTACTGTACCCACATACCTCATAAGCCCTCTATATTCACAGCATTATTTTTTAAATCAATATAAAAGGAGCAAAAAGTGTATTTAGTAGTTAAAACTAGATTTTGGCAGTAAACCCAAGTACTGGTAAAAGTATGATAACACCCTTCCAGGAGCCTAGAATGTGGATTTCTTTCAGAAATCTAACAGAAAATATGAAATAGATTAAATACAGTGAACAACTTCCTTGCAAACTTTATGGAGGGTATGAAAATACTGTCTTCCATTTTCAAGAGCCAAAATAGGGACTTACCAGTTTTGTGCCTCTCTTTATTTCTTTCTGAATATCTTCAATAGAGAATCCACCAAGACTCTCATTATCAGTGTGTGAAGAAACCAGTGCAGATGAGAACAGCTACAATTGCAAAGACAAAACCTGTATTTTAATTTTTAAGGGTATAAGTGAAAGAGAAATTTACAGATATGAAACCCACCAAATTGCAGTGGTTAATCGTGTGTGCCAATTCCAATCTGGGCGGCTTTTCCACGTGTCTGCAGCGTTTTCCCGGCTCCATCCCATTCCCGGTCACTCACCATACACTTGTGATGTGCCGCCACCTTCTGGTTCTCCGACATCAGCAACTGCCCACATTCGTTATCTTTATTCGACCGACAGAACCCACACTTCCTTTGTCTGGAGGAGACTTTCTTCTGTCCGACTGAGCTTGTCATGATTTTAAATGACCTTACAATGCCACTGCAATCCTCTCAATGCTACAGGGGAAAAGAACTGCAATCAGCATGTTAACATCAACAAAAGGCATATTAACATAGCTTCGTAAATACAGTAGGCTTGGAAGTGATTTGTCCCTCTTCTTTATGCTACTTCAATATACTCAAATAAACAAGTGACTGGCAGGGACAGTACTTGGCCAAATTTTAATGACATTTTTTCAGCAAAAATAAAGCAGTTTCTTTATGCAAAAAAAGTTTGATAATTAAAATAAAACTTTGGATGCTAATACAAAAGCAGAACATGGAAAATGAATAAGTGGGAAATACAACAAGAGAATCATCAGAGAAAAAAAGTTACTGCAACTCATTTTTATAGTTATTTATTAGAGGAAAGGAATTTGTAGGAAAAAAAAATATATGTACATGCAATGAAATTCATGCTACTGAACTTCTTCAGAAACAGAAGCAAAGAAAAACACAGAGTCCAGCACAGCCTCCTGCACAGGTTTTGGCTGTAAAGGCTCACAAAGTCTCAGGGCAGATGAGTAAAGAGTAGAGATGAGATGATAAAATGCTACCATTTTTGGTATCAGATGTATTTTGTGGCTACTCAAACAGCATAAGGAACAAAATTTTAGACACCTCTCAAAGGTGCTGCAGTGGAAACCTCTCTGTGACCAACAGTTAGTTCAGCAGTACCACACCAGGTTTCAGTCAGTGCACGAGAGCTGCTGTTCTCAGCTCAGAAAAGCAACTTAAACTCAGTATGAATCACAAACTTTTCATGTGATACCAGCAACACATTTTAAAATGTAACACTGAGGTCACAGTGCCCAACTCACGCAGACATAGCTTATGCAAAGTGAGAATACTCAATGAACGTACTTATTTCTTGGCTCAGTATTAAGAAGTTTGTGTTCATCTGTTTCTACATCTACCAAGAAGTAAAAAAATTATCTTCTTCAAACAGACTTTCTTAGACCTTTTTACTTTGGAGATTGAAGCCTTATTATCAGAATTTGCCACAACCGCAACAAAATCCTCCTCAGCCTTTCTCTTCATTTGACTCGGCTAAGTAAGAAAAACCAGTGTAGGGTTTGATATTTATGTTGAAAAAAAGTGTAAAATCCAGCCATAAATAAGAGAGCAGAGTTGCAAAACATCTGGACTGGGCTACAATGGCACAGATCTGCATGAAAATACACGGCTGGTCTCTGGAATTAGCACAGGCAGACCCGGGGCTCCCCAGTGCTGTCAGAAGCTCATAATGCTGGCATCACTCACTCCTTCCCTAACCGAAAGCAAAGGATCGTCCTCAAATTTCCCTCAGCGCGTCCTGCTGCTGACGGCCACTCCTGCTGCCTCCTGCCTCGACAGATTTTCACAGATCTTCGAACTGCTGGCCCTGCACTGTTTGCTGCAAAACTGCTCAAAAGGTGCCTGTCCTGTGCCCCTCGCCTCTGCCCTCCCAACAGCTCCATTTGCTTTCTCTTCTGACTGCGAGCAGCTCACGCCGCTGACGCACACTCAGAACAAGAATGCAAAGATTTCGGATCTTGCTGATTTGCACAAAAAATGTGCCAATCTGGATAAACTAGTCACACCCTTTTGCAGTGGCAATAGGGAGTCCTTAAGTGTTAAACACAAAAGAATTATTATACTGTATTCTTCTAAAGAAAAAAATAAAACAAGACTATTCTGTAATTCCTTCTGAGCAGAAAGAATGGTTCCTGAACAGACAGACAGACAGATATGTATGTATGTATGTATGTATATTAAAAAATAAAAATCTGGGTAATTTTTAAAATTTCAATAACATTTGGGAGAAAAAAAGACCTACAAAAGACAAGCAGGAAGCAATATCACAAAGATTACTTGTTTACATCTCACATTCAATAGATCAACAGAAATCACACAGGGATGTTTAGAAATATACTAACAAAGTCATGTAAAAGGCAAAAGTTTTGGTTTTGTATAAACAGTTCAGTATATACACATACAATCACTTGGGTCTACCTGTTTCATTTTATATTCAGATAATACTATTAAAATACTGACCAACGATACCAGTTATTAAAAGGAAGATTAGGGATTTCCTTGTACACATGCACAGGTCGTACTGACTCAGGAACAAGAATTACTAATAAAACAAAGCTGCCCTTCAATTTAAGCAGCAAGTTTGTATTTTAGAACATGAAAGTAATTCATAGCACACATAAAATTTTTTAAGTGGCTCTCACCATATTTAATTTATAGGAAAAACAACTTTCCAAAACACAAGATTATAAAGAACCTTCTCACAGCTTGCTGCTTTCCACCTTCCAGCACACTACAGGCACATCACTGCAGCAGCACCACAACCTGACTTCCTCAAGTACTTCTGCATAATTAGATTTTTTAAGGCTCACAGCAAAGTTAAAAATAATGTCAATCTTTACTCGATACATGGACACTGTTTAAAAAAAAAAAAAAAAAAGAGCAAATATATGTTTTTAAATACTTCACAATTACAAATAATTTAACACTTGAAAAATTATTCGAAACTCAAACAGGCCAAGAAGGAAATTCACGTTCTTTTCACCATCGGACTAAATTACACTGAAAGCATTTTACAAGAGTATCTAAAAGTTTTCTTTCCAACCCCACATTTCTTGTGGCTTTTTTTTGTTTGTTTGTTTCACTGGGCATTTACACTATTCATACATTTTTAAAGAGTGCTGAAAAAAACCTTAGCATGAGAAACATCTATACACCTCTCCATAAATTGTATCTGCTTTCTCATAAATGTGAGAAGACACTACTCTCAGACCACTTTTCTTTGTGTCAAAATGCACTTATCCTGCTCATAAAAAAAAGAAACAAAACATGATTTTCTGAGAAAGATGAACCAAGTAATGCACCTACAGCCCCACAATTCTGAATCCAAGTACTCAAAATTCTGTTTTCATGTCTCAAGTTAAATCACCCAGAGCAACTAATCTAGTTTACCAAGTATCAAACTACATTTCATTGGAATGAGAAAAAATGCAACTTAAAAACAGCTCAATATTTTGGTTTTCCATGTTTAACAGGTTAACAAATGATTAAGAATTACAAAAAAAGTAATTATATCTCCTGTTGATAGAATCTTGCTTGTCAGCTTTGTCCAAGTCTCACAGACTGGATCACAAGGAGTGACCTACTGTGGAATCACTGGCTGGGAGATTTTCACTGTCTCCACCAAAATGGAACACACATACTACAGACACAAAGATTATTCCATACAGATCAATTTTCCATGGGCTTGATTTAAGAAATGAGAAGTTACATGTACCCTAGAATCACACAAGCAGAAATTCACTCAACCATTCTTCATCGAAAAGTTTGGGTTCCTTTGCATTCACATTTCTTATGTTAATACTGAAGAATTAAATGTGGTGCTTTCCCTCACAGCATCTTTATTTTATCTTTAAAGCACCAGGTTTTACACCCTCTTGTAGCTTCTGTGCTGCTCTACTGAGCTTTAGACAACAGATTTCCTAAAATAAAAGTGCAAGTTCAGTAACTCTCAGGCACGGGATGCCCTCAGTGCATGAGACATTGTTCAGCACCAAAGAATGGAAAGTAACGTGGACTCTAATTTCTATTTATTTCCCAAACATGTTTCAGAAGCCTAATTATAGTTAAAACCTCACCTGTATTTCCTACAAAAAATAGTGATCTCTACACGCTGCACTTGTAAAGTTTGTTTTGCTGTGTGACCTGTATGATTCCCAAACTATATGTCAAAAGATTAGAATTTTTATTTGTGAAGAAAATTTCAGACACCTAGGGAAAACCTGTGAGAAGTAAACAAGCTTCAGAAAATGCCACTGCAGATGCTGAAGTGGTTTGGTCTCTCAGGAAAAGCTACAGAGAATATCTGTGCTGATTTTTCCCGGATGCTCGCTGGAGATACCAGAGTCACAAGCTTACAAGTGCTTCGCAGTTTCCCGGGTGGGACACTCGTTGTTGAAGGTTTATTTTGGAGAAGGGGGGAGTGAAGAAAAGGAGACAGGAAGTACCCTGTAGGGTTCTGTGGCTGAGAACCCAAATCACAAGTCTCACAGAAATTTTTATCCAAGAGTTACATTCACACAGCATCCTACAGTCACTATATAAAGTAGGATGGGAATTTATCCATGCAACTTCCTTAAAAAAAAACCAAAAAAACCCCGAAAAAGGGACAGACACGAGGGGAGAAGGACAAACCCTCGAACGCCTAAACAATGAGAGCAGAGCAGGTGACTAGGAATGACACAGAGAGAGCCCGCGGCCAGGGAGATCTGGCAGACGGCGCTGAGGGATCTCCAGGAAAGTTTACATCCTCCCACGGGGAGCGGGAGATGGGCCGATAGCGGCACCTCTGCCGCTGCCTCCCCGGGGATCCGACGGGGCAGGACGGCAAATCCCGGGCAGGACCCGCCCGACCGCCCCGCGGGGCCCGGCCGGCACCGCCGGGGCCCGACCCGCCCCAGCCGAGGGGTACCGGGGGCAGCGCGGGGGGACGCGGGCAGGGCGACCCCCACCCGATTCCATGAAATTTTGGGGGAAACGGGACCGGGAGACGAGGTGGGGGGGGCGGATCCTCCCTGCAAGGAGGGCGCGGGCCGGGGCGGGCGGAGCGAGCGGCACCGCCGGCCCGGGGAGGGGGCAGGGGGGCGGCACCGGCACCCGGGGCACCCTGAGGGAATACTGCGGGCTGCCGCGACCCTCGCGGGGCTGGCAGGGGCCGGCGGAAGCCCCGGGACCGGCGGCGGCTGCGGGCGGGCGGGCCCCGGGCCGGGGGCTGCGGGCGGGCCGGGGGCGCCGCGCCTGCCGCTGGAGCGCGGCGCAGCGGCGGCGGGGCGGGCAGCGGGCGCTCGGCGGGTCGGTCGTCGGTCACTCACCCGTGCGGCGGGCGGGGCGCGGGCGGAGGAGCCGCTCGGCACGGCCCGTCCCCGCTCGCGGGTCGCTCAGGGCCGCTCGCCCGCCGGGACCGGCGCGTTCATTCGGGGCTCGGGACGCGCCGCCGCCGCCGCCGCCGAGCGCACGCACGCACGCACGCACGCACGCACGAGCAGACGCACGCACGCACGATCGGACGCACGCACGGCGCGCCTGGGCCGCGGCGGCGCTGCGGGGCGGTGTCCGATTGGCGGGAGCCCGGGGGTTAGGGAGGTGTGCTCGCGGCCTCCGCTGCGCACGCGCGGTAGCGCGCACGCCTTTCCCGCTCCCGGTTCCCGCTGCCCCCGCGGAGCTTCTCCGCGAGGCCGGGAAACGGAAGATGGGGGTGTGTGAGGAACAGCGGCTCTGCGCATGCGCAGCCGCCGCCGCCGCTTCCCCGCGAGGTCCCGGCGCGAGCGAGCGCGGCTGGCAGGCGGCGCGGGCACAGAGGGAGCGGTGCGCATGCGCTGCTCTCACCCGCAGCCGTTGTTTTGGGGGGGGGGGGGTACGCGGGAGTCGCGCTGCTGCGGCCGCGCAGCCGCAGTGCCGCGCGCGTGCGCAGAGCGGGCGGCGAAGGGCGGGCGGCGCTGCGGCACCGCGCGCGCGCCCCGTGGGGAGGGGGGAGCGGCGGCGCGCGCGCTCCCTCACGGTGCCCCCTCCGGCCCCCCCAACCCCGACCGCCCTCACGGCGCCCTGGGCGGAACCGAACGGAACGCAACGCAATGATCGGGGTTGGAAGATCTTCGCGATCATCAAGTCCAGCCGTCCATCCACCGCTGCCCCCACAACCCCTAAGCCGCATCGCTTAGCGCCACATCTAGGCGCCTCTCAAACGCACCTTTGGTTCCGGGCTGGCAGTGGCAATGCTGGGTGATGTGGTTTAGTGGTTTTGGGGTTGCGGTGCCCTGAGTGGGTGGCTGGATTTGATGGTCTTGACGGTCTCTTCCCGCCTTGACAATTCCATGATGCTAAACCACATCACTCAGCGCCAGGTCCAGACATCTCTTAAACACCTCCAGGGACGGTGCCTATTCCAGCACCTGACCACCTGAACATCATCATCCATTTTACATCACAATACATGGATGTTTTACACACTTATCCCTGCCATCTTCTTTTGTTCGTTATATTTTATCAATTAATTAATTAACTTTATTAATTAAAATTTTCTTCATTTATTCCCAGAAGCTGCTGCATGTCTTGAGGGAAAGCTCTCCTTTCTCTTTGGGGTTCTTTGGTGTTTACTTATCAGTGAATGTTTATCAGCTGTTGGAGAGGGAAATCAAGCCATAAAACAATTGCTTTGAGTTTTGCCTGAAAACAATTTTTCCAGTGGTTGTGCTTTCTTCTGAAGACAAAAATACTTCTGAAGACAAAAATACTCTGAATACAGAGTATTTTTGTTCTACTCTGGCAATATTTTTGTCCTCCTTTGGCACAAGGAGCTTTAGAGGGTAGCATTTGAAAATACAACATAAAAGATGGTGGTGATGGTTGTTTGATTTGGCTGCGGTTGAAATCAGTGCAGTGCCAGGTGCTGCTGTATAGCCTGGGCACCTGTGGGAGGAAAAGTTTTCAGGTGAGAATCCTACAGATTTAATGTTCAAGAACAAGGCTGAGAAGCAAAGGTGTGGAGCACGGGCTAGATGTGGAGGCTACAGTTTGTGTACTTTATCAGAAAGTGACATTTAGTCCTATTTTATTCCTGATATTCCAAGCACAAGTGTATTTTCCTTTCTTTCTAAAGGAACTTAAAATGAACATAGCCAGTAGGTTTACTCCTTACAGCACAGCATCTAAGAGCACTCACTCTCGGGATGCTGCACCTCACAGGAATACAGAGTTCTTACACACTCATTTTCAATGAGAGGCTCAGCAAGGCAGAAGAATGAATGAGTTTTAGAAACAGCACATCCAGCTGACTTCATGTTTCACCATTGTGATGTTTTACAGCCAAAGATCCCAGGAATAATGGTTATGTGAGCAGCATCACAGATTTCATGTGAATTCCTAATGCAGTATTATGATGAGCCAATTGCTTTCATGGGAGAAAATGACAACACAAGGAGATCCAAACTTTATGGTAAACTGTTTTGACTATGTTGGCAAGGAGCCCACAGGCATTAACAACTGCAGGAGCTTTCAGAACTTCTCAGTGCCTTAGGTTTGGCACTCATTACCCGCAAACTCGATTATTTGCTTTTATCAATCTCAAGAGAACAAGAAATGTTGTAATAAAGAATCTAAAAAGGCTGAAATTACAAAGTGGAAGTTGTCATTTAGTCACAGACTCAGCATTAACCCAGTTACTTTGTAGACCTCAGACTTATATAGAAAGTATTTATCTTTCATCAGAGACGTGATCAACTCTCTTGAATTTCTGTAGACCAGCCATAGTGCAGTCCAGTTTACAGTGACTTCAGTGTGTGCAGCTAATTATTTTAGTTAAAATGCTGAGGAGTAAAATCTCATTTATTTCCCATGAAGCAATGCTTGATTAAAACAACCCCCAAACCTTATATAAGGTCTGTAAGAACAACCTGGGGGTAATTAATTATTTAGGAAAAATAATTTTAGGAACATGTTGAACCCTCTAAAAAAATATCCCTTTAGCTGCTGTATTGCTGTGAAGTGATTCAAGCACCATCCAAACAGAAGCAGTCGGACAAATCTTGCTCTTTCTGCAATCTTGGTTTAGGTACAAGATGTAGCTGAAGTTAAACAGGGTGAAACCTCTGCAGCTGCTAAGAACAAACAGCCCAACCAAATCCCAGCTACTGGCTCAAACATCCATCATGTTCTCTCTCTTTGGACAGTGCTTTACACCTTATGAACAAAAGCAACCTGCATACAGGATAAATTCCAAAACAAACTCTGCCAACTTGGCTTTAACAACATTCACAAAAAACTGATTGCAAGGAGAGGAATGAAAATAATAAGAATATTTATAATGGATGTAAAGCGTTCTGGGAAAAGGTAACACTGAATGGCTCAGCCATCTTGCAGGTACTCCCATTTAAATCTTATCAGAAGGAAAAACAAAAACCCAAACAAACCAATAAAACCTCTTGTAATTTTATTAATGGCTATTCAAATGTAGCTTGAAAATTATAATGAGTAACATTGACTATATGTCCCAGTTGGAGTCAAATATGGACATCAAAGTCCTGTGCTAAAGAAACTTGTGTCAGAAAGCTTTGAGCTCCACCCCAAAACACTGCAGGCAAACAAGTCTCTTCTCTGATTTACAACAGCAGCTTGGTTTTAAACTCTGGAATAATTCTAAGCCAATATGCATTCAATACTTAATTGCATTTGCTTGGTTTTGTACAGGACTGCTGATCTTATTTCCTTTCATTCTCAAAGGAGCTACAAAATGTCCAGATGTTAAATCTAAAGTGAAGCAAAACAAGTCCCCATAAATCCCCTTCAAAAGAACAAATGTTGCCAATGGTGACTGAAACCCTAATTACTTCTACTGATTATTTTAGCATAAAGATGTGTATAAGGTACAGTGTTCCCAGTCCTGCAGCAGCTCTTTCATCTCCCCCAATTACAAAATGCAGAGGTTCCTCACTCACTCACTCAAATTCATATTAATTGAGCTCAAAGCACACGAGTACAACAGCACATTGGCTGGATGAGGCATCACACACACACTGTGCTGTATCCATAAGGACACTGGTTTATTCTTCTATCACCTCAATAGCTGCATCCTCTATGTGCCACACGCTGCTCCCTGTTGTTCTGGGATAAATGCTCTGTTCAAGCACGAACAGATGCCTTTCCCAACCTAAGCCCAAGGTTTGTCTCTCAGTTTTTGATGTTTCACATGGTACGTGTTGTACCCACTACTAGAATCTCATGTCACTCCATCTCACTGCTTTTTTCTCTCTGTGGTATCCAGATAGGTTGCAAAGGTTACAAGCAGGAGTTTCTACCTACATATACCTACAGGCTTATACTGCAACCAGCATCCTGCTATTTCCTAGACCTTTCACTGCTGTGTTATACAAGTGTTTAGGAGATGATATTTCATATGTATGGACAGAGGTCTGTGTCTCAGTTACTTGATTCCTTACCTGTACTATGGTACCTTGCAGAGTTAAGCATGACACAAACAACCAACTCAGTGCTGCTCCTGTGCAGTTCACTAATCCTTAAAATGAGCATTACAGAGCATCAGGATATTATAGGTACAAAGATGAAATGGCAACAAGAAGTAACCATTTCCCACCATTTATGAGGTGGGAAGTATAAATCATTGTTCATATTCTACTTTTGGAGAAGGTGAAAACTGAGGTAAATGTGAATGCTGTGTCTAGGCTTAACCAGGTGGAATTCACTGCTAAGACCAAGAAGATTGGATTTTGTATTCTTTTATTTTCAAAAGTAATAGAACAATTCCAAACAATTCTGAAAGTGATTAATACAAGTTGTACTTTTTTTGATTTAAGATGTAATTAATATAGATTCTGCCCTTGTTTTAAATACACAACAGATGTTTGTGGTTATAGTCAGTAACTGAAACATGCAAACCATTGAGGCTAGAGGTATAAAGAAGATAAATTTAAATATCAGTGAAGGACATTAGAACCATTTGGGTTCTAGTATTTTTAAATGTTTTTTTTTTTTCTGCTAAAATATAAATAGCTAATGCTTCTCTCATTTAAATAACCATCTTTATGTTTCTGAATTAAACAAATCAGGAGCACTGGATGGTTCTGGGAGCCATTGTTAGAGCTATTGTTTCAAGCCATCTGTGGCTTATGGCAAACATCTTCTCATTTGAATTCAATATATTTTTAAAACCATCAGCACTTCCTTAAAAATAAACCAGTTTCAGTTGTACACCTCAGTTTTCCATCTATGAGGGGATTTCTCAGCTATGCATTTATTACACCCTTGTGTTTTTTGATAGAGAACATCTTCTTTATAGTCATATGATAAAGATTCCTTAGACCAGCAGTTCCTAAATTTTCTGAATGAACAAATACTGTTAACTTCTTTATGAGTTAGGGATCACTGTCAGATGTATCTGAAAACATTGGCTTGTGAGTAAGGGCAGGGACATTGTCCTCTGGGAATACCTGCATGAGACAAGTAA